GTCTCTGTCTTCTCAACCTCGACAACTGCCCATGCCAATGGGTACATCTGATCGTTGGCATCCCGTCCAACTGCCACCAGCAAAACTCCTTTATATGCTCCCTTAAGAAAAGCTCCATCAACCCCTATTACAGGCCTACAGCCAGCAACAAATCCAAGTTTCATAGCACTGAAACATACATACATTCTCATGAAAATAGGATTTGCATTGGTTGTCGGCCTTGGTGCCTGAATGAGAATTGTGGCCGCTGAATCTCTTCTCCTCAGCTCAGCAGCATAGTCCCACAGTTTACTATATTCCATCAAACAATTTCCTTCAAACACGCGGGCAATTTTCTCTCTTGCCTTCTTGCATTGTTTTCCAGTTAACTCTAGCCCAATGTTTCTCCAGATGGTTTGAAAAATGTCATCTGCTTTCAAGTAAAGAGAAGCAAAACCCATCTTCCTAACCAAATACTTAGATGCACTTGTTGAGTTGAATCTCTTACTTGTCAACTCCTCACCACAGGTATGCTCATGAATATATGTCTTCACCATCCAAGAATCCGTCACCGCATCCTTTGATAATAGTATTTTCCAATCACAGCTTGGGGCATGTTTGCAAACAGCCCTAATCCATTTGCTGTCATTCTTCTTCCATTTAATATCCCTCCTTTGCATCGCGTTGCATCTGTCAACAACAACTTTAAAATGTGCCTTGCTCACAAAAATCATCCCCAACCTTATATCTGGAAGAGCATCTTCAACTTCTTCATAAACAGCGTGTGTAGCTCTCCTCCTAGAAGCATGATCAGCATCACTTCCATCATCTTCATCAGTAGAAATGTAACTATATTCTGCATCACTTTGCATTTCATCACCATCATCATGGACTGCTGCAAGAGGGGTACTAGGACCTGCTGCATTCACACCTAAATTAATTGAATTTACATACAATATATGAAAACGTAACCGTACAACTGTGAAAAGACAAAGACAATGACATACCACCATCATGATAGGAACTAGGTCCTGCATTATCCTCTTGGAAATTATAACAAAAGGACTTGACCTTCTTTCTGGCCTCCATAGCCTCCTCATCTTCGTTATCTGTTAACTTAGGGATATCCATAACAGGATCATAATGCCCTTCATCACCTTCTGCCTCTTTGTCCCCATCGAGATCATCATTATGGTCATCAGCCACCTCCTCACTTTGTGATGCACCTGCACGTTCCTTCTCAACCCCAGCACCAGCTTCCTTCTGGACACCAACACTAGCTTTATCTTCCTTCTCAACACCAACACCAGCTTCATCTTCCTTCTCTAACCAAACACCTTTTGCAGTAAAATCTTGTCCAGGTTCATAATAATCCTCAACTACACTCTCCTTTTGGCTTTCCTCCACACGAACCTCACCATCAACCCCCTTACCATGAGTAACACCCTCAGTCTCAACCCTTTTACTACCATTATCAGTTTCTTGACCCTTGTTTGCCTCATCGCCAGGTGCTGGTAATGCAAGAAATTGTTCAACCACAAAAGGGAAATCTAGTATATGAATTACATATATGTGAACCTTGTTGTGAACCCTCAGTATGTCTAAGATTTCTCTAATTGAAGCATCGCCTATTACTTGCTTCAAGCCATCACTGAGTGTCTTTCCAGGTTCCAAATACCATATATGCTCTACCATATCTGGATCATAACGTGCTATTGAAACCTTTTGAAACAACTCCCTCATAGTTAATTTATCTATGTCTACATGCTAGTCCCAACACTCTCCATCAACACATTTAAGTCCATTATCCTATATTAACCTACCACCTATATGAATAAACAGCACATGCTTCTCGATCCCCCAATCACCCTATTCAATAATGCAATTAAAAAATTCAATATTTTACATAATAAGTGTATCTCAACGACCAAGTTTAACGACAATAAACAATAAAAAACAGAAACGAATTATAGAACCTTATTGCTTCCATATAGGTAAACACACTGACCCATGAAAAACACATAAGGTGGGGACCAGATGCCCCTTTTCAGAAAGCAAGTCAATAAACAGATATTCGAAAACCCCACTTTACCCACTTTCTTACTACACTCATCAGACACCAGGACAATAACAAGACAACCCCACCCATTAAGCATAACCTTCACACATCTCAAAAGAAGATTCGTGGACAAAAAGCGTACCTCATTCCCGCTGCCATCTGAATCCCCTTCCAGGTCGATATCTATGATTTCTACAGACATTGCTTCTCATTCAACGATCGATCACGACAAAGAGTACGAAGACTCGATTGAATGGCGAATTGACAGAAAAAGAAGAGATATTGCTCTGTTAGGGATTGTTTTTAAGACAGAAATAGAAAGGAAAAAGGAACGATCGATTTTAGGGTTCTAAAAAAAATATAATTTAAACTTCCCCTTTGTCTGAGATTGGGATTTTTTTTTTTCATTTTCGCGCGCGGGAGAGTGACGTGGCAGTGACGTGGAAGGTGTCAGAAGTCCACGTAAGCATTTGGTACAGGTTGGCATACCCACGTCAGCTGTTCCAGTTAAGTTAACGGGCCGAATTTTAACGGAGGGACTAAAAAGGGGCCGGATTTTAAAATTTAGGGACCAAAAAAGGGATTTTTTCAGTACATGGACCAAAAAGGGGCTTTTTCCTATAGTAGAGGGACCAAAAAGGGTATTTAACCATTTTTTAACTTGAAAGTATGATTGCTTTATTTATGTGGCTAATTGTAAACAATGTACTAATACTAACTATTGTTAATTATGTGTCAATTCTAAAAAAGCAAGTGAGAACCCAACAGATACATGAAATGAAGAAAAAAGAGAATGAGTACATAAAGTTGCAGGTAGGATCTTTTCTCCATGATTTTTGAAAACTTAAAAAGAATCTGTTATGATTATAATCAGAGAATGGGATCATACAGTTTTGATGATGTGTGTTTCTCTTGCAAGAGAGGCTTAACCAAGTTCTGATGGAGAAGAAGAAGGAATCAAGATCAGGAATGGAGATAATGAACTTGCTTCAGGTATTTATTTGAGTACCAGTAGTGGTAATGGTGAAGTAGTTTAATTTTGATAAGCTAATTGGTTTTATAACTTGTGAAAACAGAAAGAAGGGCGGCAACGTGGGACTTGGAATGGGAAGAAGGACTTAGGTAAATTACTCGTAATCATTTTTTTTTCGCTACTTTTGGTTCAATTTTTTGAAACTTAGTTATCTTTGCATTTTCTCTTACTCTTCCATTCTATAGCCATAATTTTTATTGTTATTAACTTTCTCTTTATTTTGTTTCTTTTATTTGATGAACCCGTACTATCTCTCTTATAATCAATTGAAACACATGCTTAGGTTCCAGGTGTTGTTTTCACTCAAGGACCAGTTTTAGTTGTGCTAATTTTTTCGGAATCTAAGGCTAAGACTTATGTTGTTCTTATTGAACAGGAAGAGTAACTTTTTATTGGTCTTATCTATTATGTCATGCTTGAATTCTTTGGTATTTGATCTAATATGTTACAAATGAGCAGAGGGTTGAATTGTTGACCTATTTTCTACTGATACTCACCCATATCTGATTAGATTTGATTTTTGTCTAAGACTAGAGTCCCAACTGGGCGGATTGTTCTAGAATTGCCTGTTGGAATGTTGGATGATGACCAAGGTGATTTTGTTGGCACGGTAGTTTGTGAGGTTTCTTTCTCTCTCTCTCTCTAATGCTTTTAGAGAAACACACTAAATAGATTCATACTTCAATGCACAGATAAACACTTCTTAATTTGCACCATTAGCGATATTTTTATACCATTGGCATAAAAAAAAAAATGAGTTCAAGGAATTTTCCTAATATATTTATAAGGAATCATTAAATAAGGAGACAGAATTAGGAGTATTGGTTTATTGTATTTACTGTATGTGGTTTTGAACATCGAGTTGTTTTCAAGGAGTGCAATGCATTCATCAGGTTACTTATGTTTAGTGTTTACGTTGAATCTTTATGATCCACAAGCATATTTGCAATAAGATGAATAATTTATTATCTTATTTTCTAATATCTCAATTCCCATTCTTCAAATTTGAGCATGAAAGCTGAAAATAAAACGGTTGGTGCCTCAATTGAAGCGTCTGTGTATTACTTAATGAGAATGAACTATTCCTTTTGTCTTTTTTATTTTTACCATTTTGGTGGTTCCTTTGAAGTGATGCTTTCTCACAGCAACCTAGACTTTGAAAAGTTTGTGGTGTCCTAGATGCCTTAATTTATCTGTGCCTTTTCATATAGAGTTGCTGTCATTTATATATATATATATAAAAGAATAAAAAGCCTCTGTTAAAGTTTTATTTATGGTATGCAAAGGCTTAGAACTTTGTTATTTGGGGGTATGTATGTATGGAGTGTTGCAATAGTTTAGTGCATGGTTCTGAGATATTGCTTTGAACCTTTTAATGCTAACCAAAATAATATTACCTTACTATCCTTTAACATGCAGGAGTCAAGGGCAAATTTCTTATTGCCATCTCCAATAACTTCATCAAATGAACTTGTCATCGTGTGGGACCCAGAACTGGGCAGGATAAATACCTCTGAACACAAGCAACTAAAGTTGGCTAGGAGTTTAACTCGTGGTATTATTGACAGGGATCTTAAGCCAAGCTCTAATGAACGGAAGTAAGTTTGAAGTCTGTAGTAACTACTAGGGTTCAAAATATTTTGAAGTTTCATATTGTTTTTCAACATGATTGTTGCCTGTGTAGCTCACATTTTAAACTGCCATGTAGTTAAGTTGGATCTTTGTTGATTCTATACCAAGTATCTAAGCTCTATAAAACCAAATTTAGTTGTATTTGTCAATATGATGTCCAGAGTTTAGTGCTCTTTAAAAGTGGCAGTAATGACAACTTTTCAGAGGCTTTTCTTTGTTATCTCTGTTGGATTGTTTTGTCATTCTATCCATATATATCATTTTAAGTATTTTTTCACATAATAGTTGGTGAAATTCTTCTCAAATAGGTGGCATATTATCTCCTTTTCCTTTTCTTTTAAGGATAATCCAAAGAATTTTAAAATATCCACCAACAAGGGCTTTGAGTGGAGATGAAAGACAGCTGCTTTGGAAATTTTGCTTCTCATTGATGTCTGATAAGAGGGCACTAACAAACTTTCTAAGATGTGTTGAATGGAGTGATGTTCAGGTTACCATCCTTTTCTCCACTGCTCCACCTGCTACATGCTTTTTATGTGGTTAATGAACAAAAATGTCATTATTGAAGATTGATTTGTTGATGTATATGCAGGAAGCAAAGCAGGCAATCAAACTAATGGGTAAGTAGGAAATGATTGATGTGTGTGATGCATTGGAGCTTCTATCACCACTATTTGAAAGTGAAGAGGTAGGCCTAAGTAAGATTAGGATGGCTTAAAACTGTTAGTTTCCCTTTCTCGGAACTCAGTATGCTGTCACAGTGATCTAGGCTGCTGTATTGTAGCCTTATCACTCACTAGGCTTAATGGCATAGAGAAGCTTATATTGTAAGGCTGGATGAACTTTTGGAACTGGAAAGAGTTGAATTCAATTATCCATAGAGTATCACATCAACAGTTTATCTAGATTTGTAGATAATCTACAATCTTATTTGTAACTGATTAATGCTTAATTCTCAATCACTCTTGATAGGTTTGTGCTTATCCTGTCCAATAAATAAGATGTTTGATTTTATTATAATAATAAATATGTAGTGCATGAAAAAATTATTTTTAACCATCAAATGATGGGTTTTTTTGTTAGTTATTTATTAAATTCGAAATATTCATGTTAATTTAACCATCAAAGAAAGTGCATCTACATATCGAGGGAGTTCTAATATAACGTAAGATCTTTATTTCATAGTTTCTTATCAGTGCTATATGATTGTTTGATTCTATATATCATATGAAAATGCCTGTATTACTTTATTTGCAGTTTAAAGGAGAACAATGTTGGCACTCTTATGGCTCCATCTGGAATTCATACTAATGCTTCTCAACCTTTTAATAGATCAGCTTTATATGATATTTCAAATTATAAGTGAATAAATGTGTGAAAAATTTTATATCATTATTAAAATTTAGATTGGTTTTCATATGTTTTACATCATTTTTATCTTCATCTTTATGTTTTGTTTTATGTTAATCTCCAACTTATTTGCTTAATCCTTTTGAGCATAGTGTCAAGAGAAAGAAAAACTGTGATGATGTTGTTTTCCCTGTCATTGACTCTAGCCAAGGACAGAAGTTAAGGAAGGAAAGTTTTGATTTTTTTAGAGCTTGTGCAACGAAATCATTAGTCTCTTCTTCTATAACGTAAGATCTTTATTTGATATTTATTTTTATCAGATTTATTTAACAGTTGTGTTATTTCGTATTATTTAAATGTTTAGCAAATGAATATATGGCTTACTTTGCCTATTACCTATTTTTTAAATTGTTTTACTTGTCATATAAGATCCCAAAAGGGCCAAACTAATTGGGATAGAGTTTAAAGTTCTGATTTGAAAACATTTCAAATACAAAGTAGTTGTTGAAAACATTTTTACTTAATAAAAAAATTTTAGGATAACTGTGGGGCATAAAAACTCAAGTACAGTTCATGCTTAGTTTAAATATCTAAGAACTTTGCAAGTTTCCTCAAAACAAACTGATAAACGCTCCAACATGTTCTAAGTGCAAAATTTGGATAGACACATTAATGGAGCCAGGACCAGGTTTTGGGCTTTATTTTACCAATCTGGATAGACATATAAATTCTCCACCATCTTCTAAACTTAAACTTGCTAAATAGATAGTTAACTTACCTCGAGTTAGCTTGACCATAACCATAATTCGCCACAAGTCCTACAATTCAGCTGTTGTTGCATGCCTCTACACTTAGTATAGGACTAATACTCACTTACCTAAGCTGTGCACGACTTGGGAACCCTCTTGAATTCTTCAAACCCTAGCATTCTACAACTCTCATGAACTCTCAAATTCCTTTCCTCTTTTACCATTTGGTGACAAAGAGGGAAATGGCAAGATGAACTTAGTTCTCCACTAAGTTGCAAGATAATCCATTTGAAGTGTGAACAACTCTTAGTGGAATGTAACTTTTCTCAAGTGTTCTTGGCAATTACATGCCAATAGACGTGTATACACTTCTTTTACTGTTAAAAAGTTATCAACTTTTTTAAGTTAAGGCACTCAAGTTTAAAGAAATTTATAGTTAAGTATACAGGGTTGTAAAGACTTTAAATTAAGGACATATGTTTGTTTAAACCTTCAATTAAAGACAGGGTTGTTTCATATGATTATTACTAATTGGTTTTAAATTTCTCAAAATATTTTAATTGAGTCATTCATTCATTCATTTTATTTTATATTATTTGATGCAGTAAAAGAAAAAATAAAGTTGTTGGTAATAGACGAAAGTCTTCTATTTCGCAAAGGAATAAAAATCCAAATAGGTTCTCACAAACGTCAGCAATTGATAATTCAAGTAATTCAAGTATAAATGGCTTTACAGGTATAATGCTAGACTCATTCATTTAAAGTTTAAGATATATATGTTTTGTCTACTATTTTTTTTCCCCCATCATATATTAACAAGTTGTTATTTGGAAAGGGAATACTGATATTTTGTCTCCAATCTCTGATGGTGAATTTGTTTTCTGATTTGTTTTTATTATTCTTTTATTGACATGACATTCCAATCTTATTAACTATGCATATTTATTGATAATGGTACCATACTTTGTTTTAAAATTCTTTTGTCTCTAATTTCATAGATTGGACTTCCCTTGGATTTATGGTTTTTTTGTTTAGATTGTAACTCAAACAAATTGTTTGTAGGTTACTTAGATATTAGGGACCCTATATACAAATCCAAGTATTGTGGTGCATTAATGTGGTATGATGAGCGAACTAAGAAAGATCGCTACCCAATCAATCCAGAATTCACTTTGTGTTGTATGAATGGCAAGGTTCAATTGCCTTTTCTCAAGCCTGCTCCTGATTTACTCACCCATTTACACAAAGCCGAATTTCCTATGCAATCTTAGGGTGTATAATATGATGTTTGCATTTACATCTTTTGGAGGTAAAGTTGATCCGTTGATCAATCAAGGTTCAAATCCTCCTATTTTCAGACTTGGGAGTCAAATCATCATTATGTGGGCAGTCTTCTCCTTGTTCCAAATGAGAGTCCTAAATTTGCCCAACTTTACATCTTTGATACAGATAGTGAAATTAAAAATAGGTTGAAATGTTTTGGGTATGTAAATCATCTCCTTGATTATATTATTGCCTTTCTTATTTAGTGTCTTTAAGAATTACATTTGAAACTATTATGCAATTTTTTAAACTGATTATTTATTTATTTATTTATTTTTACAATTCAAGATAGGAAACTGATTTAGTTGATTTTTGGAGTAAATATTTGTTCTTTATAACTCTTCTGTGTCTTTTTTTCCAAGTTTCTTCCATGTGCAGATACATCGATTTCTTTCTTTAGATTTTTTTTATTTTTTTATTTTTATTTTTTAGGTTTAGATACATAGATTTAAGGTCTGGATATATGTTTAGTCAAGGGAATAAGGAAACAAGGAGAAAGAGTGGAGGTGGTGGAAGAGAACTTTGGTAATAAAAGGATAAGCATAATACCTTTTGTCTCTATTATAGCAGTTGTTATTGTAAATAAAAGGTTGATTTGTGATATGTAAAATGGAAAAAAAAAAAAAAAACTAATAGATCTCATATAGATATTGTTCTTTTCTCTTTGATTGTGTCTAAGCAAGTGTGTTGAAGTCCATATAAAACATTTTCATCTACTCATACCTTTTATATGATTAAACAAACTTATTTCAAAAATGAGAATTTTTTTTTGCATAATGATATGGAAAGGAATTATGCTAGTAGAAGGGTTTTTGGATATAACTATCTTAATTCAATACTGAACATTAGTTTTTATTTCACAATAGTTTTATAAACATATTTGAGGTACTCTTTGCACCTCTTTAATAAAATTTTCTTTGCTAATAAAAAAATATTACTAATC